TACTATCAATAAAATTCTGGGTTACAAGTACTCATCTTAATATTTAAAAAAAAAAAAACTATATATATTATATGTAATCATATATTACTTAATAAAAGACATGCAGTCAAAATTGCTGCTTTAAACTAAAAAAAAAAAAAAATTATAGGGTGTAACAACCTAGTGAAATGATCAGGTTGTCAACCCTCCAAGTGATAGATTAGATGTTCAAATTTTATCAATAATGAAAATTTGAATAATTACTTATATAATATTCATATTACAACAAATATTACTAATAATTAAGTTAGAATATCTGTAATAGTAGTCACACCAGTATGACTGGCAGGTCATAAGGCATCTGTGCAATGTTGAAATTATATAAAGAAATGCAAACCAACAAATCAGATAGTGCAAATACTATATAAGTCCTTGTAGCTATGTAAATCCATTAAAATTGGATAACAAGAAGTTTATTTAGAAAGACCTAAATAGAAAAGTAACTGAATCTTCAATGGTGCTACTGTAAAGGCTAGTTTAGGAAAATAAATACTCAGGTCTTAGTAACTAAATGAGCAAAAATCTCTGGATTGAAAGTCTCAGAAGTACTACCAACTAGGCTATTAGAATAAACTAGAGAAAAGGATATTAGGCTGATCTAATATATCAATAGACTGATCATAGTTCTATAGAGCTATCTGGATTAGAAGTCTGATGAAATTCAGAAGTATACTAAAATACTAAAGTTATACTATAAAGTAGATGCTAGGGTCTAAGTGAACTCTACAAGAGCATAGTGGTTTAATAATTAAGCTCTGACTACAAATATTGGTTCTGCTATAGTAATACCTAGATCAGCTATAAAAATAAGTACAGAAGGCTCTAGAGGATTTACTTCAAAGATAAATTAGTCCTAAGGTTGAGATGATAATCTGAGTATCTGGATATGACCCAGTGAGTTAACACAAGTTATAGGTTCAGAAAGTTTAAAGTAGAACATTCAAGTAGAAGTGTTAGATATAGCAATTGGTAGAAAACCTTTAGGTAAACACTTTAAATAAATAATATAGAAAAGTTATATATGTAGTTAATTGTATGCTCTCCTGTAGTAGTTCATTAAACCACAATACCAATAAGTGATTAATAAAAGTCAAATAACCAAAAAAGTCATCTTAATATTAAAAAAAAAAAAAAAATTAAAAATCAAATAATAAAAATTAATAAATACTATTTAATAATCTAATTTTAAAAATATAAGACAGATTATTCAGATACTCAGACCATCATCTCAACTTTAGAACTATTTTATCTTTAAATAAATCTCCTAAAGTCTTTTGTACTTATTTTTACAGCTGACCTAATATTGCTATAGCAGAATTAATACTTGTAATCAAAGTTATATTATTTAATTGCTATGTTTTTATAGAGTTTATACAGATCTTAACATCTACTTTATAGTATAATTCCAATACTTTAGTTACCTTTGCCTTTTTATTTACCTTTTTATTAGACTTTTAATCCAGATAAACTATATAGAACTACAATCAGTCTATTAGTATATCAAATTAGTTTAATATTTTTTTCTCTGATTTATTCTAATAACCTGGTTGGTAGTATCTTTGAAACTCCCAATCTAAAGATTTTTACCTGTCTAAGTACTATAACTAGGTACTACAAGCTTGATATCTGTTTTTTCAAACTAGTCTTTATAGTAAAATTATTAAAGACCTAGCTATCTTTTTACTTAGGTTTTTCTAAATGAACTTCTTGTTATATAATTTTAACAGATTTACATAACCACAAAGACTTATCTAGTATTTACATCACCTGATTGTTGGTTTGCACTTCTTTTATAAATATATAGATACTTTATAACTTGCCAATCATGCTGGTGTGACTACTATTATAAGTATTCTAACTCAATTATTAATAATAGTTACTATAATACAAATATTATATAAATAATTATTTAAATTTTCACTATTGAAATTTTAATACCCAACCTACCATTTGGAGAGTTGACAACCTGACCACTTCACTAGGTTACCACATTTCTATATTTTTGTTTTATTTTGGATTTTAATTTAAATTTTATTATTAATTAAAATTTATTTTGTTTAATAAATTTTCTTTTAATTATTTATTATACAAAATTCATAATTTATATAATTATAGTTAGAAAGATGAGGTAACTTAATAAAGTAAATAAGTTGTCAATTTTCTAAGTAACAGATTGCAAGTTCAAAATCAAAATTCATTGATAATGAATTTAAATTTTTATTTGTATTATAGTAATTGTTTTCAATAATTAAATTAAAATATCTATAATTATAATTATATTAGCATAATTGGTAAGTTATAAGTTATTTGTATAACTAGTTATACAGATAAATGCAAAACAGCATCAAATAATGCAAACTTAAGATAAATCTTTGTAGTTATATAAATACTTAAAAATTAAAAAATAAGAAGTTTATTTAAAAAGATCTAAGCAAGAAAGTAAAACAGATCTTTATTAGTATTATTATAAAGACTAATCTTAAAAAGCAGATACTAATATAAAGAAACTAAATGGACAAGAACCTTAAATAAGAAGTATCATCAACTAAACTGTTAAAACCAAACCAAAGAAAAAGAATATTAGATTAATATATTATATTAATAGACTAATTATAGTTTTACTAAGTTATTTGAATTGAAAATTTGAAAATAAAAATAATACTAAAATAATTTAGCTATATTATAAAGTAGTACTAAGATTTGAATAAACTCTGTAAAAGCATAGCAATAATAACTAATCCTGATCATAAGTATTGATTTAACAAGGGTGTAATGACCTAATAAAGTAGACAGATTGTCAACTTCTAAATAGCAGATCTAGAGTTCAAATTTTAGTATTAGTAAAAATTTGTAATTCTTTTTGTATTATAGTTAACTGTTTTTCAAAATTGGTTGAGATCAGATACCTGTTACCTATGTTATACTAGTATGACTAGAAGATTCAAGCATTTATATAATTTTGTATAAAAGAACACAAGCTGGTACCAGGTGGTATGAATCTATAATAAGTTCTTAATTTATATAAAATTACAGAAATCAGAAAGATGAAAGCCTACTTAAAAGATCTAAGTAAAAAGATAATTTGAATCTTTGATGGTGCTACTATAAAGACTAATCTATGAAACAGCTATATAATTTATAAAATTAAGCAAAAAACTGGTCTTTAAAAAGGAGCTAAATGGAACCAATCAGACCATCAAGTTTCATTTTAAAAGAAAAGATTATATGCTAAAGAATATATAAATTAGAATTATAGTTACAATTTATCTTTCTAAACTATCTGATCTGAGAACTTGGTAGAACTTAATTTGAATACCAAACTAGTAGAGATATATTGTGAAGTCAGTACTAGAGTTGGAATGAACTCTACAAAAGTATAGTAGTTTAAGAATACATTCTAATTGCAAATATTGGTCTTAATTATAACGTTACTGAGTTAATTGTAAGAATAAGATACAAAAGATTCTAGAAGATATAATACAAGATCAAAGGTTTTTTATGTAAATAAACTGTCTTAATAACTTAGTAATCATGATATATTTTTATTAACATTAATCAGAATCATTGGTAGACAGAGGTAGATAGATAAATACAAAAACTGAGAAAAGTTACAAGTAGGTTTTAGATATGATAGCTAATGTAGAACTTTCAGGCAGACTACTTAAATTAGACAATAACTAAAGTTATACAAGTGCTTAGTTGTACACTCTTTCTATAGTTGTCTTCTGTAGTTATTATACAACTATTAGTCAAATATACTATCAATAAATCTTGGGTCACAAGTACTCATCTTAATATATTTTTTTTAAAAAAAAGTATTGATTTAGTTATAATAATATTAGGTTAACTGTAAAATAAATATATAAAAAATTTTAGAAGGTTTATCTTAAGGATAAAATAATATTAAGTTTAAGATAAAGATCTGAACATAATCTAATAAAGTTAACATAAGTTGCAAGTTCAAATAGTTTAAAATAAAATATTTAAACAGAAGTAATAAATATGACAATTGGTAAAAAATCTTTGAACAGACTTCTTAAATAGATAATATAGAAAAGTTATATGGGTAACATTCTTCTTATAATAGTTCCATATTGAACACATTACTATAAATATTAATAAAAGTCAAAAAATCCAAGAAGTCATCTTAAAAAAATAATAATAATAATTAGTCAATCCATCTCTTCCTAGTACATAACCTTCTTAAATGCATATTAATTTTTTGACTTATATCTATACTAAACTCCCATAAATGCATTTTTTATTATTGTTCTCTAAATACAAGTTCTCAAAAGTTTGATCCCAATGATATGCATTTATGAAAGGTTGACTGTATAATAAAAGTGCAATATATTGCACCATGTAATAAATTATAAATTTCAAAATATAAATAACAAAAATAAAAATGTTAAAAATGATGCTAATGCTAAAATTTTAACTAATGCTTGTCAAAATCAAACAAAAATTTAACAGTCAAGCAAGTCGAACAAACAATCGCAATAATATATATATACGTGCATACATATATATGTAGTATTAGTTAAACTTAATGTCCGGCTTAATCCAAGTATTTGGCTGTCAAACTTTTGTTCACAAAAATTTAAAACTTTTGAGATGTTTTGCTCAGCTTTTTTTTTTAGTTAAGTTACAATTTAGAATTAGTGTTTATAATAAAAAGTATTGATTTTAGTAAAGTTTATATTTTCAAATTAAGGACCCATATTTCAGCACCATCATCCCTAACAAAAAATATAAATAACAATTTTCAAAACCTTAAATTTTTTTTAAGCTCTACATCCAACTTTATTATAATTAAATTGGTTTATATATAAATATATAATTTATCAATTAATATATATATACATGTATAAGCTAGAAAGCCACCTCTTTTTTAATTTAATTTAGTAAGTCTACAATGTAGTAAATTGCTTTAGAACTCAAAAAACTACGTAAAACACTCATTATTTTAGCCTAAAGAAACTAAATCCAATTTTAGCTTTAATATAAGCATTTTGAAGTTCTTGTTCATTATGTTTTGTCCAATCACTAAATTGTTCTTGCCTTTTACTTTTAAGCCTATTATAAAAAATAAAATTATGCATTGATATAGATTTAAAATACATCGAATTTAGTAAAATTACACGTACGTTAACCACTCCTTAGAATCACCCCCACCGCTAGTAATTATAAACATTGTTCTAGCTGGAAGTTTATCGTATATCTTATTGATTCTTTCATCAAGTTTTTTCACAAGATTAATTCGCCCATACATGTCATCAGGAAGAGCTTTAAGGTCGAGAAATCGTCCAAATACAAAGTTATACAATTTTTTTTGGTCGTTGCTTATTATTCCTGTTAGGGCATCCAACACCTAAAATTGTTACCTCGTGTAAATTTATGCTTTAAAAAAAAAAGCGAAATTTCTAAATAGGAATTTACATACTTCATCATCAGTTTTGCATGTTACAACCTTTTTAGCTCCATCTACATATAAATTAGTTTTAGCTTCACGATCAACGACTGCAGTCGTACTGTTAGTCATACGAGATATACGTTCAAAAATGGATTCATGAGTTTTATCAAAGTCTAGACCTATATAGACGAACATAGATAAATAATTTACGAGAAACAGTAGCTAACGTTTAAGATTTAAATGAAATAAACTACCTAGATTTAATTTCATTTTTAGGAGATCAATACAAGTCATAGCGTCTTCAATAGAATCATGTCCACGAGATCCTTTAGATTGGATATTTCTATCAAGCCACATTTTTGCAAGATTTTTCAGCTTTGGTTTGTACGAATTGCGGGGGTCGGAATAAAGAATTGACGTGTCAATTATAAATGGATGTGCAAACTAATACAATAAAACGTAAATATTCAAAGGTTAATTTCACAAATATCCAAATTTTATATAATTTGATGAAATCTTTGGTACCCGTAATGCTTTCAAGTCACATTCAAGAGAATGTCCCACCAAAACGGTATGCTTGTCGACCAACTCACTAATCTGAATTTGAACGTCTTTGATGGTAACGGTAACATCACGCAATATTTCCTCAGTTATTCCACTAAATCTAGTGGAAAAAAATCAACTATTTTAGTCTTTACAATTTCATAGATGTATATCTATACAATCAATAAATATGTAAATATGATATATACTCAGTCAAATAGTCTGTTATTGGTAGACCTGGTTTGACATATGAATCATAAAGGACCTTAAGTTTGTCATCAACTATCGATACACGAGTTAGGGCTGGACCATCTGCCGTAATACACTAACACGGCGTAAATAGACTCGTCCCTCAAAGTAAATTAATAGGTTTGTAGGTGCAACAATGAGTCCATACCATTTCACAATCAATAGCCAGAATCTTTAATTCAACACTTCCGTCCAAATATTGTTCTTGAGAAGGAGGTCGGTATTCTGGATAACTAATCTCGATCCAACCAGGAGGCAAAGATTTACTATCTTTATCAATGTATGAGGGAATCGGATAGCAATTATCTCTCATTTGCTCATGGGTTAATAGGCATTTTAAAATTCTTTGTTGAATTAGATTTACTGGGTGAGAATTCATACTAAAAATTAATAAAATTGAAATCTAAACATAAATTGAAACTCTAAAAATATAACATTTCATCAAATGACAACAAACCATCAGCTATATTGGTAACATCAGTAATGTTCACTTTTGACCTGTCAACTAAGTATTTCTTATACCCTTCAGGTATATAACAGGACATCAAACTGAAAAAAGAAGAGTGTAGTCTCCCGTTTTCACCAGGAGCTTGTGTAACACATGCATGTGAGAATACTTGAGAAAGCATCGGAAGTACCTCATGCACATTTTGCGTTTGATCTCCGTATAATCCTCTTTCTAAGAGTTGTGAAATTTCGATTGGTCTGTTAATCTTAATGGCCAATTCAGCCGACATACCAAACATTCCAGGATCAAATCCTGGGACCATGAGAGTAACTACATTTTTTATCTCATTCCTTCCCTTAGAATAAAAAGATGGTATGTCAAATGTCACTATGTCATTAATGATAAGCTTTATACTAGGGTAAAAATCCTCTATGAACAACCAACCCTTATCCTGATCCAAGGAGGACAGTGTCCACTTCCGCCAAGTAAATATAAGATTATATTTTGGATTTCCTACATTAAAAAATTTGTTAGTAATTATACATAAATAATCTTCCATTACATGGTAAATACAATGACATTACTTTGACATCAACGATTTTCCAGTACTTTGGATCAAAGAAAACTTCAGAAATGTTTTTCGCAATCACCTAAAAATGTGTTAAGACATAATAAACAAATAATAGGAATAACCTATTTCGTAAAATAAGAATATCAGCCTGTACCTTTTGAGCTTTCGTTCCTCTAAGCTTACCCTTTTTTCGTCGGCGTTCTCTTCTAGCTGTATGAAATGTATCAATATACCAATGCAAATCTTTTAGATACTAGAAATAGCAATATTATACATAAGGAAGTTGAAACTGAAACGGAATGTTTCAAGTTTCAGCCTTTCAAGTTTCAGTCTCTCAACTTACAGTCTTCATTGTTTTGTTCATAGAGTAATACTGGTGAACGTTCACGTAAAGACACAGGCGATTCATTTCGCGAGTTTCTTCGAGCTTTGATCGGCTTCCGCTTTATGTCTTTTTCAAGACTTTCATCAGAACTGTTTGTTCGTTTTTTAGACGTGGTTGTCATTTTGGTATTAACGTTTGAATTCGCTAAATACAATCAATTATTTCGGTTCAAGGTAGGAACCAGGGACAGCGAAAAAATATCGATTTATGTAAATCGATATTTTTAGGAGGGAATTGGTTTTTATTGGTCATCGATTTGATCATCAGATCGAATGGCCAATGAATCGATTAGTAGTATAGAGCTTTTACATATGAAAAAAAATTTTTATTAGTACGTTCTTCGTACCCTAACGGGTCTTTTAAAACTTTCAGATCAATAGAGATCAAGTATTTAAAGGTAGCTGGCTTATATGCGAAAGGTGACGAAGATATGAACTCGGTAGAGGTTACTTTAACTTCTACAACATGGAAAGTAAGAAAGTTAGTGAAATGCACTTATATAATGATGCTTTATTACCATTTATCTACATCTTTTAATGAATTTGGTAATTTTAATACTTTCTTTCATCTCTTTTTGAATAAACTCATGCTTCACATTGTCTTCTGTCATTTTGGGATCTTGTAATTCTTCTTTAATTTTATTCTTCATCAGAAAAATTTTTAAGCAGATTTCTATTAATATATAGTATTTAATCGATATATATATATATTTTTTTTTTTTGGTATTAAGATGACCTCTTTGGTCTTTTGACTTTTATTAATCACTTATCGGTATTGTGGTTTAATGAACCACTACAGAAGAGCATACAATTGGTTATACATATAACTTTTCTATATTACTTATTTAAGGAGTCTGCCTGAAGGTTCTTTACCAATTGCTATACCTAATACCCCTGCTTGGGTGTTCCATTTTAAACCCTCTGAACCTGTAACCTGTGTTAACATCATTGATCATCTCTGATGTATCAGATCATCGTCCTCAATCTTAGGACTAATTTATCCTTGAGGTAAACCTTTCAGAGTCTTCTGTACTCATTTTTACAGCTGATCTAGATACTGCTATGACAGAATCAACATTTGTGGTTAGGGTTAACCATTAAACCACTATGTTCTTGTAGAGTTCACTTAGACCCCAGCATCTACTTCATAGCATAACTCCAGTACTTTAGTATACCCTTGTCTTTTGTCCAGCCTTTTTACCAAATTTCCAATCCAGATAGTCCATGTAGGACTATAACCAGTACATCAGTATATCAGGTCAACCTGATATCCTTTTCCTCTAGTTCATTCTGGCGGCCTGGTTGGTAGTACTCCTGGAACCCCAATCCAAAGGTTCTTACCCGTCCAGTTACTATGACCAGGTACTATAACCTTGGTATCTGTTTCCCTAAACTAGTTTTTACAGTAAGGTCGTCAAAGATCCAACTACCTTTCTATTCAGGTCTTTCCAAATGGACTTCTTGTTACCTAATTTCAACAGATTTACACAACTACAAGGACTTATTTAGTGTTTGCATTACCTGATTTGTTAGTTTGCATTCCTCTGTGTAACACTATACTTATACAGATGCTCCATGACCTGCCAGTCATGCTGATGCAACTGCCATTACAGATATCCTAACTCAATTATTAGTAATAGTTGCCATAATATGAATATTATATAGGTAATTATCTAAATTTTCACTGTCGATGGAATTTGAACACCTAATCTATCACTTGAAAGGTTGACAACCTGATCACTTCACTAGGTCACCACACCCCTCTAATCGATATATATATATATATTTTTTTTTATTAAGATGACCTCTTTGGTCTTTTGACTTTTATTAATCACTTGTCGGTATTGTGGTTTAATGAACCACTACAGGAGAGTGTAC